AGGTTTTTTTCTCGGGGCCCGTAGCTCTGCGGTGTACACCCCAAGAGAGCTACGCTCCTTTTGTGACGCAGCGGGTCACAAAAACCGCTCCGCCCCAGCTACGGCGAGCTTAGCTTACCCAGTGTTGCTACCAGACTCGAAACTCTCAGACTTGCTCTCTTACTAATGGCCACCAAGAACTGGAAAGGTCGGCAAGTCGACATCAAAACAGCCTTCCTCAACGGACACCTTGATGAACCCTTGTAGATGACTCAACCACCCGGATACGAAGATCCTCTCCATCCTGATTGGGTCTGCGAAGTCACCAGATCAATCTACGGTCTCAAGCAATCTCCGAGACAGTGGAATATTGAACTCCACACTGTTCTTATTGCTCTCGGCCTCACCCAATCAAAACATGATCTGACGCTCTACTTCCAACTACAAAACAAAAAGCTGGTTGGTCTCGTTACTTTTCATGTAGATGACTTATTGGTCATTGGTCCAGATGATTTTGTTGATTCTTTTATTTCCCGTTTATCCTCTCACTTTGAAATTTCTTCCAATAATGAACTTCATCATTTTCTTTCTCTTAATATTAGTCGTGATCTCTCTCGAAAACTTGTCTTTGTCAACCAAGCTCACTATATAAAAGGGCTTGGGGAAAAATTTCTGTCTTCTCCCCACGTCTCAGTCTCAACTCCTACGGACGCTTTCTTTAAAGACCTTCTCCCTCGACAGCCTGATGAACAAGTATCAACAGTTTACTATCAAAGTCTGATAGGAGCTTTGTTATGGGTAGCCCAATGCACGAGGGCTGACATATCTTTTGCAGTGAGCCAACTTTCACAATTCCTGAGGGATCCTTCTGAGGCACACTGGCTTGCAGGGATCCGAGTTCTCAACTACCTCCTCTCGACTTCTCATCTCTCACTGACTCTCTGAGGAACTGTGTCAATCTCGGGCTACTCCGACTCTGACTGGGCCAAGGATCGACACAATCGTCGTTTGACCAGCGGCTACTCTTATCGTTGGGGCAGCGGTCCAATCTCCTGGCGTTCACAAAAGCAAGCCACAGTATCTCTCTCCAGCACAGAAGCCGAATACAAAGCTCTTTTGGACTCCTGTCGCGAAGGCCTCTGGCTCAGGAACCTGCTAGCGGAACCACATATCAGACCTCCAGCAGCAATCCCTCTCCATGTCGATAACGAGGGCGCTGAAGCTCTTGCAAAGAATCCTCAGCACCACTCTCGAACTAAACACATCCATACACGCTATCACTTTGTTTGAGAATGCGTCAGCGACAAATCAATCTTGATTCACCACGTCTCTTCAAAAGACATGTTGGCAGATATGCTCACCAAACCGCTGGGACGAGTTCTTCTCCTCTCTCATCAAGAACATTTTGGTATAGTGTAAACTTTCTCTTCCCTCATGTTGCACGCAAGGGGGGGTGTTGAGATAGTTCTACTTTACGTGTGTTTCCTTTCTCATTACACAGTCCTGTGTGACTATCCCCAGACATGTCAGTCTTGTGACCTCTGTCTTCTCCTGTCCTGCGTTGACATTATTTCATATATCATTTCATTTCTATTTCATATGTCATTGCGTGTGCTTAGCAACTTGTTAGTCATGTGATACCTCAGCTTGTTATTTCACTATATAAGCCTACTGGAACAGCTCAGGAAAGGTGCTTCTCTTCTCACCTTTCCTTGATTCTATCTCTCGCTGTTCCAGCTGATTACGAATCTAAAATGGACTGTGTGTCTGAGGAATCAATCCAAGGCTTTCTTTTGCCCCAGACATTGCCTTGGATTGATTACTTGGACACCACGTCTGAGTCTATTGCCATGCAAGGATACCTCAGATTTTCCAACCCAAGGCATCTTTTTTGGCAGTGTAATCTACAACTTCTCAAATCACAACTATTCATGATATACCAAAACAATCATCAGGACAACACTTAATAATCAAAATCCAAATAATTTTAAAAACCCTACCCAAAAACTCAAACATAAGACTTGTCTGGACGCCAGGTCATGAAGGCATTGAACTCAATGAGCTAGCAGACCAGCTGGCAGGAGAAACAGTGTAATCTCAAATTTCAGCAATTACACTACCATCAAGTATAAGTAGTCCGAGAAAAGGCACTAATGAAACTTTTCACATTTGAGATTTCTCTTTTAGACCGGGTAAAAACAAATTCATGACAAGACCTGAAAAATTACTGATGGTCTAGTTGAACTTGAAAAGGGTGGCACAGCAGCCATATTCCAGCTTAGGGCAGAATATAGGCTATAGCCCACTAAACACTCACCTATCCAAGCGGAATTTGGGCACTTCGCCAAAATGTGAAACTTGTGGGATTGACCAAAAAACTCATCATTTATTACTTCATTGCAGATGATTTTCAAAAGCCAATAAAAAATGTGAACAAGAATGAAAGAGGAAGGCATCAAATTCAACTGGAATAATATCAAATCTTGCTAGATTCACCTGAAGTGTTTCCTTTCCTATCAGAATACATTTTAAATACTAAAAGATTTGTACATGCTCAATCATTCTTACAGGGAATAAACCAAGGGGATTGGTTGCAAAATAAGGACAAGGTGCCACGGGACGGAAGAAAAATGATCCAACCGTAAGATTGCTGATAAATGCTTGTGTAACAGGGCTAGATTGAAAACATCAGAAACAGTGTCTGCTAAACCTTGTTACAGAGTTTGGCCAATACTACCACAGAGCAGTCTTAATAAAGTATACTATACAAATCACTGATAGATGCTTGTGTAACAGGGCTAGATTGAAAAACATCAGAAACAGTGTTTGTCTAATCTCATTATAGAGTTTGGCGGAAACTACTGTTGAGACAGCTATCATACATATCATATTTAACTTAAAGTTACTTATAATTTATTATTCCACCAAAGCCCTAAATAGGACATGCTTGCACAAAGGTGTGAAAACAAAAAAAAAGACATTTAAAAATGCAAATTTTCAAAAAAAACCAGGGAAGATAAATACAGTCAAACCTGTCTTAAGACATACCCCTTGGTCCAACCAATTTGGCATGCCTTATAGCAGGTTATGTCATATGACAGAGTACTGCCCTATGGCATGATTGTATGCCTTTCAAATTATCTCTATAATCACATATTTTTATGTTGTAAGACAGGTTTTTTCTGATAGCACAGCTTTTGAGTATGCCTAATTGCTGCATTTCATGATACTTGAATGGGAATGGGATCAAGGGCACAAAAGATGGATCAAATAAAGTACACATAACATATGTATTTACACACTATGTACACTTTTGGGGGTATTTTATGCCTTAATACCATACTAATGTCGAAAAAAAAGTACGCCATAAGGCATTAGACAGAGAAGGCATAATTTGGCCCTGACCATGCTTGTCCAGGCCAAAATGTATGCAATTTGGCAGGTTAAGCCAATATACAGGTATGCCATACAACAGGTTTGACTGTATATCTTAACATCACATGGCACCAAATTCTTTGACTAGATGGCCAAATACCCCAAGTTAAACTAGTCCCTTTTTGTTTCAACAAGTGCAGATAGTGTTGTATGCAATAAAAGTCTCAATACATTTTAAAAAAATGATTCATGGCGTGTTCACTTGAGCAATTTCTGAACGGAAATTGCATTCTGTGCAGCATGCAATTTCTGACCAGAAATTGCTCAAGTATCCATGCCCTTGGTGTAGAGCATTGGGTATGATCATCATATCACAGTGCCCGTGAAGGGCGTGTTGGAGTTATTATTTGTCTGCTTCTAAAAGTCATATACATTTTATTTAAATACATTTATTCTAAAAGTATTTTTCTGTTTCATTTCTTCATTACTACATTATGTCATACTTTCACATTTGTATTATGACATCATTTCATTTTTGTTTTCTGTTTTTCTATTGCTTTATAGCCTGAACCTATTACAGTCTTTTGAATCTTTTCTTTTCTTTATTCATCTGACTGTATTAAATACATTTATTCTAAAAGTATTTTTCTGTTTCATTTCTTCATTACTACATTATGTCATACTTTCACATTTGTATTATGACATCATTTCATTTTTGTTTTCTGTTTTTCTATTGCTTTATAGCCTGAACCTATTACAGTCTTTTGAATCTTTTCTTTTCTTTTTTCATCTGACTGTATCCATTACAATCTCTCTATAAGATTTTGTCGGACATTTCTTTTCTCTTTATCTTATAGTGAATCACCACATTCACATCGAGCTTTTAGTCAATGGATTTTACTCAATTCCAATAGGGTAAAGTGCTTTTCAATCTGGTAAAAAAAAGCGTGGAAGTGGCCGATGAAGTGGACTGAGGTCGGATCTCATCGCTTGTCTGGACCCAGCTTCAGCTCTTGATGCCAATGCTCGGGCAGGCTCGAGCCCTCTCGAGCCTGCTAGCGCTCCATCTCTGGTCCCAGATGGGCAAAATCACTTAACCGCGGACGTAAAAAATCAAAAATAACAGAAGCAACATTTGTTGTCGAAACAGCCGTAGTTCAATAGGGCGTCTCAAGTAGAGGCTTTTTGCCAAAATTAGAACAGGCTCCAAGTGTGAAACGAGAAGTGATCCGAGAGCGATTCTGAGCCTCGACCTTCTCGATACCAGAGCGAAGGGATCTGTGAGTCCTGTTTGATTTCAGCACAGGACCCTTTTCTGTTGTCAAAACAGCCGTAGGTCAATACCTGACGCAAATTCAGCGGCAAATTTAATGGGCTCAAGCCTCCATGATTTGAGAGCAAGAGGAACCGGAAAAGGGAGCTTGCTCGTATTGGGAGAAGTTTGACAAAACCCTTAAGCGTCAGAAGGTTCATGGTCGAGGCTGGGAAGCAGCGCATAATTTGTAAAATGGCTTGCTGTAAATTGGTGAGTATGATTATGGGAAAACGGGTCTGCGGTATTTAACAGTTGCGTGCTTTGGGACAAAGGTTGTCGTGCGTATGATGGAGCACGTATGATGGAGCACAGTGAGGTGCAGTGGTCGGTCAATATATATCAACGGCAAAAGGCCTTGAACTTTACCAGTCATTGAGCCATTCACCTTCTTTTCTTAAGCCTCGATACCTCTGCATGTCTGAATTCGTCAAAGATCGAATCACCAACTTTGTCCTCCACCTGACTCCGGACGTCAATCCATATCACGCGACAGCTGATTATGTCGAAAGTTTCCTTCTGGTGTGTCTTGATACCCCAAATTTATTTCTTGTTGAGCATCCGCGATCCAACAACATAACAGTTTTACCTATTCACTTTTTTTCTCTCTTCATCCACAGCCATGTACTCTGCCCTCTTGGTCACGTTACGTTGAGCTCGTTATCTTGGCAGGGTTTGTAATGTGAGGATGTTTTCTTTCTGATAAACAGAACTAGAACAAAAACGAAGTTGAATTACTTAACAATATATTGTCAGAATGTTTTCCCAAGCATCTTACATCCTTTATGTCCGCTCAAAAACAAAGAAGATATACCATATTGGCTTAAATGATAGTGAGTGGATCTCAACTTATGATTATTACATCTATTTGGATCAATAGCTGATCTTTTCGATTAGTCGGCCTCATACAGTATGATCGTGCAAACCACTGTGGATTGTTTTACTTTCTATATAGTATCTGTAAGATCACTCCATACGAATTTGTTTGTTCTTGAGAAGATGATCTAACGTATCCACCTGGCTACTAGTTGCCATGACCCAAATCGTTCTGCAGCCATTTGTACGAAATGGCACCCTAGACCAAGGAGGTCCAGATTTTGTACTCGGGATCGAGTTTACGCTGAAAAGTGGATGCGCCGGGTGAGTCTTCATCAATCACTCCACGTGTTTTTCTGAAAGCTAACATAACTTTGTAGCGGTGAGTGTCTTTCATTCAGTCTCTGCTCGAATCCTTGATCACACATTGAAAATAATTTTCATCATTGACGGGCTGAAACTCAGTAGTATCATGGCTTGCTATCTGCCATTGTCTATCGGTGCAAGGATATGTATTTCGGCGCAGTACTCCAGTAGGACAATTTCTCTCAACCACTGTGAAATGGGCTATGAACGTGTCCTCGGTAATGATATATCTCGTACCAACTGGTCAGCCTACGTGTTTTCTGCAATGGTACATGGTATATAGAAACCCTGAAATTCCTTTCCAATCTTAGTGACATGCATCATCGCATATTATCAAGTTACCATGGAATATCACCGCATTCGACAATTGGTGATGCCCGTAGTTGACATCCTCCGGGACGAGGCTTCTACCTGCGCCATAGGGACATGCACTGTGGTCCAAATTATTCCTCGACTGCTTTCACTCACGCGGGCATTGCATCATATCGTCAGTTTGCTTTGGGAAACCAGTCAGATAAGTTCAAGTTGAATAATAGCAACAATTCTTCAATTAGGATCTTTTGGTACATTGGTGTCGAATTGGAACAAGCTCTTATTTATTCTTTGATGGATGCATTATTGTTGTAAGTGCTTCCTCCATATTATTATCACATATCTTCCAATCTAAAACTAATGCATGAATCTGGATCAGATTTACATTCCGCTCCTATATCGATTGTACCAAAGCTTCAAGGCTCAAAGAAGACTGTTTCGAGGATCACAACGACAACAAGACAGAATTTTTGCAAACACCTTGATTGAGTTTGCAATCATATTGATCACTTTTGTTTTATGTGTCTTTTCAGTATGTGGAGAACCCAAATTTGAATTTTAACATGAACCTTCGGATATCCAGTTCCTGATTGAAGTACCTTGTTAACTTTTAGATGTCTTTAATCAAACAGGGCGAGTTCCTCTATAATCCAAGCTATTATCTTATCCTACGTGTTGTAAGTCTTATCTTCTGTTCAAGATTGACCTTTTCTTTCTCTCATGATTGTTCACAATTTTTCAGGGTGTGCATGGTGTTCTTGCAACCTTAGGAAACATGTAAGTGGAGTTGTTTGTTATGGATTTTTTGAACGTTTAACTGAGATGATCACTTTGCAAAGCGCTTTGTTCTTGATCATATGCAGTTACCGTGAAACAGATATAGCACCTCCCAAAGTTCATATTCCAAATTTGCCGTCCTTACCAGCTGCAGGATTTTCAAAGTGTGATCAAAATGTCTCACCATCATGCTATCCATATTTATAAACTCCACTTTTTGATTTCAGCCCGCCAGAGTCTGATCATTGTACAGTCCCCTCTAAGTGGTTTATGTGGCCAGTCAAGGGCTTGGGCAGTACCTGGGTATTTTTTATCTACATCTACAATCACTTCTTTGCCTGATACTCAACTTCATCTTCTTCACTCAATATGTTCAAACATTTCTGATGAGTAAACTGAGATTGTGTTCAATTCATTGAAATTGCACAAGCAGTCATATATAGTCTGACTGACTTGCTTTCATTTCTAAACAGTTGAGAGAGCTTAGAATGGAAAAGTTAAAAATACGCCACAAAGACACCTTTTTGAAGGAGGATGTCCCAACCATCCTACATTGAGACATTGAGCTGGCATCCCAAGTTGGGACATCATTGAGATGGACCAAAGGTGAGACATCCTCACTTCATCCTTTGGATGCCATGGTGGGTTTTCAGTACAAGCACATCTTGGAACACTTCATGACGGTGGGATATTTGGTGGACGTCTTGCAATAGACCATGTCAGGATGTCTCACCCCCTACAAAAAAAGAGGATGTCCTGAATGACGACCCTGGAAAGCGCGTACAGAACCTCCTAACAAAACACACTTTTCAGGCATTTGCTCATGCACACAACACTTGACTACTTATGAAGGTGCACAGTAGCCTGGTGTGTGTGGTAAAAGAAGGGCTATCTTATGATGCCGGCCTCGAGTTTTTTGGAGTGCTGGTTGAGGAGAAAAATGCAAAAAAAAACATTTTTTGATGATCCTGGGCGGATTCCTGCATACTGGGGCCAGGTCTCTACAATGGGTTTTACCCAAAACCGCCAATCCTACTCTAGTAAAAGTATATGGACTAGAATTTAGAAAGCTGCAGCCTTTTTTAACCTGTTGAAGTTTTCAAAACTTGTAAAATGGTTGTGGCTGCGTGGGAAAAGCCCCAAACCCAACAAAAACAAAATTTGGGTACCAATTAGGAGGGTGTATTTGCCCTCTCCAGGGTCCTCCTGGATGTATCCAAGTGTCCTCCTGGTGTACTGTAATGCACACTCAATTGAAGTGATCTGGGTGAGTTGAGGGAAAGCTAAATGACACAACATGGATTTAAATAAGGCAATTGATAAACCACGCCGACCTCAAAGCTGGGTTGACGCCGGTTTTTCTCAAACCGGATTCCTTCCGAAGATATACAGCTGCTATACATCTTCCCAGAGCTGTACTGCTTCTGCAGCCTTCAGACTGTTTCTGAAGCCGGGCTTCAACAGACTCGGCGTCATCCCTTTTGAAAGTTTTTGGATCACTATCACCGCTGATCATTCTAATTCTTGTTTTTTAAGAGTTTCCACTTGTTGAACATGAAGGGCTATTGGAAATGTAGCTGAGCAAGATGATGAACAATTAAACAAAGCTTGGACCGACCAATTACAAGACATCGATTGCTGGACAGCTGAGCTTGACGCGAAGGGAACAATCATCTTTGAACGGGCCCAAAGACTCAAGGACATCATCAAGAGTACCTATACCAATGCCAAACCAGAATCTGAATTACCAGACTGAATCTCTCATTGTGTTTCAAAGAATAGAGATATAATGTTATGGAGAGACTCTCTCATTGTGTTTCAAAGAATAGAGATATAATGTTATGGAGACTTGCTGGGCCGAAGGGCATTCTCACTTGATAGACAGACAGGGACACAGAGTAGTGGCTCAATCTCTGGACCCAAAGCTGAGGTTTGGATCCGACTGTTTTTGAAAACAATTCCTTGATAGGTGTCTTTTCATCTTCGAGTAGGTTGTTAGCCTCGCCTGAAGCAATTGAAGGGTGCTTGTCCCATCGTTCAATCTTGATGAACTTATAAAAGTTACGTTCTCGACCTACATAGTAAGGATTTCCTCGACTTCTTTTTATCCTTTGATGTTGATGAAAATGTGCTGGTTCAAGGTTGACATTCTGGTCACTGAGTCCGACTCGCTGACAACAAAGCATCACATCCAAAAATACAACTGCCAAACGTCCCGTTTGTTTAACAGCAAGTGCATGGTCATCAAGTCCTTTAAGGATACTACACACCTTTATCCGAATCAAAAACCGACTTCAGAAAGCTTAAAAAACCGGCTTCAGAAGCAGTACAGCTCTGTACATCAGTATAGCAGCTGTATATCTTCTGAAGGAGTCCGATTTATAAAAACCTGCATCAAATCAGCTTCAAAGTCGGCGTGGTTTATCAATCGCCTTAAATAATTGACACATACAATCTGGACAGACAGGTTTACTGTGCGTTTGAAGAACTCAAAGAGAAGTTACTAACATACCACTGAGTTTAGAAAACTGGAAATGTAGAAAAATCCGGTCAATATAGGGGAGGTAAACTTGAAAAAATAATGGTTCAATCCACATTGTGCGTACTTTTGCCTATATTTTTGAAAATCTCCCAAAGCAAGATAATCACGGGGGAGATCAGGTCAGAAACTCAAATCCTGTCCAGAACTATTGAGATTTGGGCAAAAACCTTCAGAACCCACAAATATGGAAATTTTGTTCAATCACTTAGATAATTGCAATTTATGAAAGCTAAATATGGGGTCTAAAATATTCATTGAGGTTCTGAAGCCATTGTAGTAATAACTTTCAGGTAAATGCAGGTTTTCTGCTGTGCACACGACTGATTTGTCCATGCAGCTTATAAAGCCAGCATGTAGCATCCAAAATGTCAAGAAATTGCATCTTGTGGAGCAAAATTGACAATTTTATTGTCCTTTCAAAGTCACTGTCTGAATACATGCAAGTTTTGGACCAACATCGGGTTTCTGACATTATATGCACTGTAGCTGTGGAAATCAAAAAACCTGCAAGATAATTGGAATGTACCACAGGATTCAACCATTTTTTTCTATATTTTTCTGATCCCTCCCAGCTTCTTTATAATTTTCTATGATTGCTCAATTCTTTACACTCAGTGGTAAACTTGCAATTTGATGTAGTGAAAGATTGTGCTTGAATTTATGGGGCTTCCCTTGAGCCTTGCTCATTCCTCAGCTGTAGCTCTTTTGGCCTCAAAAGAAGGCAGCAAAATTTGGCACTCAAGTGACCCTGAGATGAAACACAAGCAGCAAGTCAAGCACATCCACATCTAGATGGGAGGTGAATTTTAGAACCTTGATAGCTTGCAAGAGCAAGGATCTACAAAATGGTGTTCAAGTACTATAAAAAGATTGCTGTCAGGGTGGCTATAAATCTACGTACTGAGTAGGCCTAGTTCTTGCTCAGACGGGTCCCTGACTAAGTTATTCCGCTGGGTACGGGGAATATTGTAACCTATAGGATACTATTTGTCAGAAATAGTAATAGAGATTAGATCCAATCAATACTGATAATATAATATTTTCTATTAATTTTAGTAAGGGCCTACTGTAGTTTACAGAGGAGGATGGTCAGTCCTAGACCCTTACGGTTCTCTTTCGCTAAGATAGCTAGGAGTAGCCTGATATCTTAAAAGATAAACAGGGATCTCGTCCAACTTTACGTTGCGAGAACTGAAGGATATGACCAAGTCAAAGAACACTTACAGTAAGTAAGCTGGGGTTTCAGTCGAGTTACAGTTGTTATCGCTTAAAGCCAACCACAGGTTGATCCGCCCCGGCCCCGGGGCCGGCCCCGGTCCGAAATCTGGAGGGGTTGTGACCAGCGATGGGTGGTCTATTTTTGGTGTACTTGTGCATATTGTCTGCATTCAAGATCTTCCCCACCTTCCCGATATCGATCATTTTCAAGCTTTTTCCGCGCTCAAAACCCTCAATATACTTCAATTGAAATCATGCCGAAGAAGAGTGCAGCGTCACGTGCTCAGAAGAAACGATGGAAAGCCCACCGAAAAGCCAAAAGCATGGCAAATCTCACAGCAACGACTCCGGTCAATTCCGGAACTCAATTGGACAAAAGCCCTTTCTTTCTCGAATCAACTCAAGAACGAATTGAAATGGTTCTCTTATCCGACTCAGAGCACAGTTCTTCCCCTTTTCTCGATTCATCTCAAACACTTAACAAGAATAAATCCCTATCAAATGTTGAATTATCATTAGATCCTCAATCAATAGCTCAAATGCCTTCACATGATTCACACAAAGCTTTGCCACCTCCTCTGTCTTCCTCTTTCGAACAATCACCAGAGCCTTATTGGCTTCCAATCGACATGGATTACCAAAACGAAGAGGACGACCTGGACCCTTTAGAAATGAATCTCCACGCTCAAGATGACATAGCTGATTCATCTGACGAAGAAGAAGTTGATCAAGGATTCATCAAAAACATCTTCTACCCTGTCTTTTCTCAACGTTGTCCATCAGAACCTACTCTCGGAAAGCGAAAAACCAAAACTGGATCGATCATGAAAGGATACAAACAGCCTCGATTTGAACCTGGAAGCATCAAGGGCAAACCCGCCATCGAGTCAAAACAAACTAGATTCAGCCGTAAGCAAAAAAGAGAGAAAGCTATTGGAAAGAACAACTTCATCATGTCAAATTGGATGAGCCAAGCAAAGCCCCCTCCTCCTCCCTCCTCGACTCACTCTGATTCTGACATTGATCCTGAAGATCTGATTCCCGAACTCGAAGTCGATCATTCAACCGATGAAGAGAGTCTTACCGAGTCTGAAGATACTTCAGATCAAATCAATCCACCAAAGACTTTCAACATCGATGTTTCTGCAGCTCACAACTTATGGATTGATCAGTGTGTCAATCACTATCGAGAATCGAAGACTGTCACTATCTCTCACACTGAAAAGGTCAAGAACACCGCTCAAGAGTATTTTAATACTTTAGATTCAGCAATCAAATATGTTTCAAATAAGTATAAGAACGACACAAAAATCAATTAACTTATCGGTGACCTTCGAGAATACAACCAAAGACGTCTTGAACTTACAATCACCGGGGTATCTTCCCCTGCTGTCACCGCATCGTATCTCTCAGCCTCTTCTTCCATTCGACGAGATCCTTCAAGGGTGAAATCCTCAACTGGGGTTAGCCGAGCCAAAACGATTTGTGAACAAGCGGTTCACCTCCTCAATCACAAGGACATCAAGCTCAGCGTTCGTGGCCATCACTCAAAGCATACATCAATGCTTCACGATAAGCGAGTGTTTGATGCGCTCAAATCCTGGGCAACTGCGATAAAGCCTGGCGAGGTAAGTTCAATACCTCTTGATTATTTTCATCACTTATCTTGCTCTTTCTAACTTATCTCTTATCTTTGTTCAACAGCTC